CAAAAATATATGTAGTGTTAATGTATTTGTTGGTCTCTTCGGTGCCGTTATCTTTATCGGTGGTACTGTTCTCGTCGGTCAACTCCAATATACCCGACGGTGCGATCAGGAACTCACCGCCCGGTGTAAACGTCAACCGACGGCAAAACGACCGAAGGGTGTCGTCGTAGAAGAGCCGCGAAGTCTTATTGGACTCTTCGGTACGCATTCGGTGTACTCTATAGACAGTGCGACCGCTTTTGGCGTCGATTACTCGCATATTTCTGTCCGCCGATAAAGTGGCCAAATATTTGCCGATCGGATCCCACGCCACGCCCTGAACGAAGCCCTTGTGTTCAACAATTTTGTGCAACTTCTGGCCCTTATGTACGTCCCATACGATTGCCGTATTGTCTACTGAGGCGGACACTAGTTGTTGGCCATCGGGAGACCAGCAAACGTCCGAAACGTCCTGAAGATGGCCGCGAAGTATTTTGAGTGGTTTCCAGACCTCAGTCGCTATCATCTCTTCGTCACCGAATGCCGTATTTTCCATATTATTGGCCGCATTTTCAGCGGCCGGTCGAGCCTTAATGGCTGCCGACTGTTCCTCCAGAATCATAATCTCGTCGTCTTCTTGACTGTTGTCCTTATGTTTGACACAAAACTCTTGGCTTTTCTTCGGAACAATTAAATTCACGTCTGATTTTAGCTCATTCTCTGTGTTATTGACGGACGAGTCGTCCATCAGTTTCCATATATAGATGAAACAGTCGTCGTCTCCGGCGGCCAACAGGTTGTCGTTGGGGTTCGGCGAGAATCGGACCACATTTACGGGCCTCTGATGTCTCGTCAAATCGGCCAAACACTCAATCGACACATTAGGCGACCGTTTATTAGTCTTCGGGTCGACGACGACGGGCGCCGTATCGTTNATATAGATGAAACAGTCGTCGTCTCCGGCGGCCAACAGGTTGTCGTTGGGGTTCGGCGAGAATCGGACCACATTTACGGGCCTCTGATGTCTCGTCAAATCGGCCAAACACTCAATCGACACATTAGGCGACCGTTTATTAGTCTTCGGGTCGACGACGACGGGCGCCGTATCGTTGATATTAACTTTCCATATGATTACGTGTGAATCGTTACCACTGGTGGCCATACGATAGTAAACGCACTGACAATCGGCGGCAGAAGTGGTGGCCGTTGTTGTGGTTGTGGCCAACGGGCGGTTCTGGAAGTCCACACTCAGTATAGGGTCTCTGTTATGCCATGAGATCTGTGGCGTAAATGAACGCATGATTTGGC